ATGCTTTGTTATCTATGAACTCATTCCACCTCCACGGCAACTCTATGAGGTGGGCACTGTTATTTTTCCCATTTCACACATGTGGAACCCGAGGCCCACAGCAGTAAGGAATTATGCCGAAGTAGAACGGTTATTGCATGTGATTTGACTCCAGACTGCCATTTCTACTGATATCGGCAGGCCATAAAATAATTGTGCAATACGTGAAAGCCTCTTTAAACACAGTGCACCCTTTGACTCAGTGATTCTACTTCTGAAAATGTAATCTTAAGAAATAGTTCAATATTATTAATACATACTATAGTTATTGATGCAAACCACTCATGTGTTACTTTTTAGCTTTACTTATAATAAGGAAAATTGGGAAGCAATCTAAATTTCCAATATTAGGGGAAGAGTTAAAAAAAAAACCAAACTACAGTAATGGCCACTAAGTAGAATTTACAGCCATTTTTAAAATGATGTATATAAAGAGTCTGTAATATTGCGGAATGGTGTTATAATGTTAAGGTCAAAAGCAGAACCAAAATTTCTATAGACAGTATGATTACGGATATGTTTAGATGCCATGATAGGAGATTTCCAGTAAAAGAAAAGCAATGTTTTCCATTTGGTTCCATCTGAAACAGCAATCAGGAAACCATTTGTTTCTGAGCATATCTGTTATCTCCTGTTACCCCATAGCCTCATAAACCAGTGCCTCTAGAAAGCTCAACCTGATTTTTTTTTCCTGAGATATTTCACATGGAAAAATAAATTATATCATTGGGTCTAATATCTAAGTTGGATATAAAGCTAGGCTCTTTGGCTCACAGAAAAGAAGCCGCGCAAAAAAGCTTTGCATCCTCAGAGCTGCTCACACGGTGTATCCAAAACCGTTGAGGCACACAGATACCACCTGGAGATAAATTTTTTCCATACTTGTTCTCAGGCGCAGAACCAAATCACAGCACCTCCTCCCTCCAGCTCTACTTTAGAGCAAATTGAGTCCAAATTAGATCACCCGTTTCGTCCAATTGTATAAACCACAGCAATACTGTTTGGGAAAATCTAATAGTGTTAATCTAAGAAGTGCTCCTGTGCCCACAATAGAGTCAAACAAATAATCAATAAGCCTCTAGATATTATAAGATCAGTGAGCAAAGAGACAGAGAAGAGACTGTGTTTGCAGAGAGAACTGCTTAAATGGGATCAAGTCACAGTAAAGGAAGGACAAAGCCAACACAGAAACTGACACAACAAAACCAGGTTGAATAACAGAGTTTATCCTAGAGATGCTAACAGTGCCAGAATCTTCCAGTGGAAAGCATTAGATTGTGTATCTAAATAATGCAGATTTTTTTTTTTTTTTTTTTTTGAGATGGACCTTTGCTCTTGTTGCCGAGGCTGGAGTGCAATGGCGTGATCTCAGCTCCCTGCAACCTCTGCTTCCTAGGTTCAAGTGATTCTCCTGCCTCAGTCTCCCAAGTAGCTGGGATTACAGGTGTCCACCACCACGCCCAGCTAATTTTTTTGTATTTTTAATAGAAATGGGGTTTTGCCATGTTGACCACCTTGGTCTCAAACCCCTAACCTCAGGTGAGCCACGCATCTCAGCCTCCCAAAGTGCTAGGATTGCAGGCGTGAAACACTGTGCCCGGCCAAATGTTACTAGGCATTTAAACACCTCATTCAATCATCAATACTATCTCTGTTGAATTGTTATTATCGTCCTCACATTACTGATGGATACATATGTGGTTCAAAGAGCTTAGTTCACTTGCCCAAAGTCACACAATTAGCAAGGGGTTTACCAGTGGCACTTGAACACATCAATTCAAATCCATACTCCAGTGAATTGCATATTGGTCAATGGTTTTTAAGTTGACCACAATCCATGTCAATTTCCTTTCTCTACAAACCTAGACAAGTGTATTAGTTTGTTTTCAGGCTGCTGATAAAGACATATTCGAGACTGGGGGAAAAGAGGTTTAATGGGCCTTCAGTTCCGCATGGCTGAGGATGCCTCAGAATTATGGTGGGAGGTGAAAGGCACTTCTTACAAGGTGGCAGCAAGAGAAAAATGAGGAAGAAGCAAAAGCGGAAACCCGTGATAAACCCATCAGATCTCATGAGACTTACTCACTATCACGAGCATAGCACAAGAAAGACCTGCCCCCATGATTCAGTTACCTCCCCCTGGGTCCGTCCCACAACATGCAGGAATTCTGGAAGATACAATTCAAGTTGCGATTTGGGTGGGAACACAGCCAAACCATATCATTCTGTTCCTGACCCCTCCAAATCTCATGTCCTCACATTTCAAAACTAGTCATGCCTTCTCAACAATCCCCTAAAGTCTTAACTCATTTCAACATTAAACCAAAAGTCCACAGTCCAAAGTCTCATCTGAGACAAGGCAAGTCCCTTCCACCTATAAGCGTGTAAAATCAAAGGCAAGCTAGCTACTCCCTAGATACAATGTGAACACAGGTACTGAGTAAACACAGCCATTTCAAACAGAAAAAATTTGCCAAAACAAAAGGGTCACAGGGCCCACGTAAGCCTGAAATCCAGTGGGGTAGTCAAATTTTGAAGCTCCAAAATGATCTCCTTTGATTCCAGGTCCCATATCCAGGTCACACTGACGCATCAGGTGGGTTCCCATGGTCTTGGGCAGTTCCACTCCTGTGGCTTTGGAGGATACAGCCTCACTCCCAGCTGCTTTCATGGACTGGCGTTGGGTGTCTGTGGCTTTTCTAGGCGCACGTTGCAAACTGTTGGTGGATTTACTATTTTGGATTCTGGAGGACAGTGGCCCTCTATTCATAGCTCCACTAGGCAGTGTCCCAGTAAGGACTCTGTGTGGGGGCTCCGACTCCACATTTCCCTTCTGCACTGTCCTAGCAGAGGTTCTCCATGACAGCCCCACCCCTGCAGGAAACTTCTGCTCAGGCATTCAGGTGTTTCCATACATCTTGTGAAAACTAGGCAGAGGTCCCCAAACCCCAATTCTTGACATCTGTGCACCCATATGCTCTACACTACATGGAAGCTACCAAGGCTTGGAGCTTCCACTCTCTGAAGCCACAGCCTGAGCTATATGTTGGCCCCTTTCAGCCATGGCTGTAGTAGCTTGGACACAGGACACCAAGTCCCTAGGCTGCACACAGCACAGGGACCCAGGACCAGGCCCGCAGAACCATTTTTTTTCTCCTGGGCATTCAGACCTCATGGGAGAGGCTGTCATGAAGTTCTCTGACATGGCCTGGACGCATTTTCCCCATGGTCTTGGGGACTAACATTGGACTCCTTGCTACTTCTGCAAATTTCTGCAGCTGGCTTGAATTTCTCCCCAGAAAATGGGTTTTTCTTTTCTATCACATAGACAGACTGCAAATTTTCCAAACTTTTATCCTCTGCTTCTTTTATAAAACTGAACGCCTTTAACAGCACCCAAGTCACCTCTTGAATGTTTTGCTGCTTAGAAATTTCTTTTACTAGACACCCTAAATCATCTTTCTCAAGATCAAATTTCCACAAATCTCTAGGGCAGGGGCACAATGCTGCCAGGAGCTTTGCTAAAACATAACAAGAGTCACCTTTGCTCTAGTTTCCAACACGTTCCTCCTCTCCATCTGAGATCACTTCAGCCTGGACCTTACTCTCCATATTACTGTCAGCATTTTGGGCAAAGCCATTCAACAAGTCTCTAGGAAGTTCCAAACTTTCCCACATTTTCCTGTCTTCTCCTGGGCCCTACAGACTATTTCCACCTCTTCTTGTTACCCAGTTCCAAAGTCACTACCACAGTTTTGGGTACCTTTTCAGCAACACCCCACTATACGGGTACCAATTTACTGCATTAGTCCATTTTCACACTGCTGATAAAGACACGCCTGAGACTAGGAAGAAAAAGAGGTTTAATTGGACTTAACATGGCTGGAGAGCTCTCAGAATCATGGTGAGAGGTAAAGGCACTGCTTACATGGTGGTGGCCAGAGAAAAATAAGAAAGAAGCAAAAGTGGAAGCCCCTGTAAATCCATCGGATCTTGTGAAACTTTTTCACTATCAGGAGAATAACATGGGAAAGACCGGCCGCCATGCTTCAATTACCTCTCCTTGGGTCACTCCCACAACACATGACAATTCCGGGAGACACAATTCAAGTTGACATTTGGGCGGGAACACAGCCAAACCATATCAGCAATTCAACAGCATCATTAAGGCCCAGTTTCTGTATCTTAAAATGGAAGTAACAATATGTGTCTATGTGTTAAGTGCATAGCCTAGTGTCTGGTAGAAAGTCCATACTCAATGCATGTTGGTTCTTATTAACCTTATCATTGTATCACCTTAATTATTTTTAAATTATTTTCACATGCTTTAAAAAGCATACCACGAACATAACTAGCATAAACAAATACCAAATTCTAGTTCAGTAAAGCAATAATGACACACCTGCTTAAGTGTTTAGGAGTGAAGTCATTGCTGTCTGCAACTTACTTAGCTTTTTGTTTGTTTTTGTTTGTTTGTTTACTTCTGACGCAGGGCGTCACTCTGTTGCCCAAGTTGAGTGCAATGGTGCAATCACAGCTCACCACAGCTCCTATCTCCTGGACTCAAACAATTCTTCTGCCTCAGCCTCCCAAGTAGCTAATTTTTTATTTTTTGTAAATACATATGTAAAAATTTTTTTATTTTTTGTAAAGGCCTCACTATGTTACCCAGGCTGGTCTCAAACTCCTGGACTTAAGCAATTCTTTCAACTTGGCCTCCCAAAATGCTGGTATTATAAATGTGAGCCACTGCACCTGACCTACAGCTTATTTTGAAATGAATCATAAGACAGACTGGTTAATACACAGAGGAATGGTAAATGAATAGAGATGCAAACAGAGGGAAATGTTAATTGCAGAGTCTAGGTGGTGCATATCGGAGTCCTTACAGTATAATTCTTTCAACGTTTGTGTATGTCTGCGATTTTTCATAATAACAAACTGTTGGTGGGATGGAACAGCAAGAAGAATGACAATAAAGAATGAAATACCGTGGGTATATCCCACAACCTAATGAGGAGTAAAAGAAGCAAGACAGCAAAGAATGCATACTGGGTGGGTGACTATTTACATGAATTTCAGGAGCAGAAATCTATGGTGATAGAAATCAGAACAGTGGTTAACTCTTAATGCTGATGGTACTTATTGGTTAGGAAGGGGGACAGATGAGCCTTCTGAGGTGTTAGGAATGTTCTCTGTCTTGATCTGAGTGGTGTTTACACAGTTGTATGAATAAGTAGTTCATTGAACTGTACATTTAATATGTGTGCACGCTACCGTAGGAATGATACATCTCAAGTTAGATTCTGATGCAAGCAGCTCACATTTTCTGAATGCCCGCCTCTTCCTGTGCCAGGCATTCTTTCTAGGCACTTTCTGATGCATTCACTTGGAAAACCATTTCAGAGAATTGTCTGACAGGATACATTATTTAAGCCTTTAAATGCGATGTGAAGCAATCTCACTTTCTTAGAAAATGACTGTCATTCCTGAGAGTAAACGTGGCCTACAAGGAAATTATGAATGTGTGAAACTCCACAGCTTCCTAGCCCTTGTCCGGTGCCTTTGGGCATTTTCTTCCTTCCTTCACAATCAGATGCCTTTTATAAAAAAAAAAAGGATGCCTTGCTGATCCAAAATATCTGCCCTCTGGCATAGGATTCAGCTACTGGGTCAGAGAAAAAAGAAGCCACCTCCAAATAACAGCACACAGAAAGTCATCTACAGGCTGGATGTCTTCATCAAAGGCTAGGCTCCTCTTCTCTCCTCTGGGAGACATTCCTGTTCTTTTTTACCTTAGGATTGTACCTGTCCAAAGCTGCCTTATGGCCTAACCCACTGAATCACAGGTAGAAAGCACATGCAGATTTGTTCAGGAGCAGCCTGGAAGAAGGTCCTGACAAGCGATAAGGGAAGATAGGGGATCTGTTTCAGGCAACAAAGACTTGGCTACCAGGTCTGTCCCTAACACCTGCCAAATTGCGCTTGATGTAAATTTGAAAGCAATAGCTCTTGGATGCAGGTAATACAGGAATATGGAACCACAGAATGATTTCTGCAAAATCAATTGCATGGAAGATGCCGTAGAAATAGAGATGCATTAAGATTCAGGACAGTAAGACTACTGTGATGACCTGAGGTACTTGTTTAAAAGATAAAGTTCCCCAAGTTCCTCCTCAGACTTACTGAATCAAAATATCTGGGAGTGATAGCCAGAAAATGCTTATGTTAACAAGCTCACACTGGGGAGTCTCTTACATGTGAAAGATGGAAGATCAAAGATTCTTTGTGAAGAGTCCCTTCAGGGGAACAGGCCTTTCATTTATCCCCCCTTACTTACCCATACACATATTGCATCCACTCATCCATCCATCCATCCATCCATATATACATACATACATACATGTACCCACCTACCACCCACCATTCCACACATCCATGCATCCATCCAGCCATCCATCTACCTATCAACCTATCTATCCATCCATATATCCGTCCATCTATTCACCCATCCATCCATGTACCCACTTACCACCCACCATTCCACACATTCATGCATCCATCCAGCTATCCATCTACCTGTCAACCTACCTATCCATCCACATATCCATCCATCCACCCACCCATCTATCCATCCATCCATGCATCTCATAGCTGTGTATCTGCTGAGTGTTATCTTTGTGCCGTGCCACAAGCTGCACCTTCCTTGGTGGTCAAAGACAGTTTCCTTCCACCAACTAGTTTTACAGACAACTACATCAACTTAGCCACATTCAATTACATATTCATCAGTTCATTTGTAACTATAATTTTCAAAAACCTTACAGAAATTTCCCTCATTTTTCCTCCTCATCTGTATAAACCTTCTAAGCTCCAATATCACCATCCCTGCATAAAGGACCACCTGGATTTTAGGAGACTGATCTGGAACATAACCATTGAATGATTCACTTGAGTCTATTTTTAGGGGAACTTGTCCTGCTAGCTGAGAACACCTAAATCTCATGGGCCTGAGGGTCATCATGTCCAGATGTATGGAGCTGATTACTGTTAGAGACATCTAATTACGAGTGAGTAAAGATACTCCAAAAAGAATACACTATAGATTATTCTCTTTTCAGAAAGCTAAGAGAATTTGGGCACCAAACTAGGCCCTGTAGGGTCTGAAGTTCTTTACTTTTGACATAAAGTCTTCAAAAGAGCTACATATGTATATTCAATAAAATATGATGCTGGTTTAAGAAGAAGACATAAAGACAAGGTGACAAAATAGAGAGCTCCCAAAGCCAGGTAGACTCCTTTTGAAATAAGCGCTGTATACCTCTACCAGAGAGTCGTACATCCCAGTAGCTGAAGGCATAGAGACTTATTATGATTAGCGTGCTGTCTTGAGCTTCTTTATTTAGCTCTCGGTTCCCTACAGATTGTAAGAACCTTGAAGGCAAAGACAATTCCCTTCTTTCTGAGCAATGGATCTGTTCCGTGCCTGCCAGTCCTGATTCAATAAATACCTGGTCTATTGCTAAGGTATTTCCTTCTGTGGAAAGAAAACGACAAAATGAGACAATTGTTGCAACCTCCGGTAGCTTTAAGCTAAAGCAAATAAATGATCTTCTTTAAGTGACAGTCTCCTTTCATATTAAGTATTGAGGATATTAGAGAATAAGTCCAGATGGCTGAAGAATGGGTAATATCAGCCCAGCCACTCAGCAGCAACAAAATGGACATAGTTTTGAATATACCACAAGCCAAACATTACACTAGAAAATATGAAGCCTAGTCCTATCATTTCCTATCTTTCCTAGCTGGAGGTGGGGATGTGTTTGACCTATGACCCAAATTATGGCCACTTTTGGGATCAGACGTTACAAGTCAGGTACTGTTTTTCACACCAGAACATGGGTATCTGGAATTAAGTGTGCTTCCTCGGTCCACTCTGCTGTCTGAGCCTCAACACAACCCCTTATCCCTCACCCTCTGACACTGACCCTGACCTGTAGCCCTTTAGTCTGTCCCACCATTTGCACCAATACACACTAACTGGTAGACCTAAAGCACAAATGCCACTAGTATTTCCTTTACTCAACCAGAAGGCTCTCCCCTTATACACATCCTTTATTCTCCACCTTGGTTGCAAATGAGAATTACTTAGGGAAACTGGAAACTCCTTATGCCTAGGCTGTATCTTTATCCAGTTAAATCAGACTCTCCACAAGAAAAACCCAGGCATCAGGATCTTTTATATTTCCCCATATGATTCCCAAAGGGTTGAGAACCACTGATAGCTTACATCTTTCCCCGACTTGTCTCAGGTTCATCAATCTATGCATTTGGTTTTGGAAAGTCTCTCAGGCCTTTTGATGTGGTATACGCAGGGGGTCTCATCAGCATCTGGGCCTCCACTCTATCCTGCAAATTTTCATGAGCCCTTTGATCTTCTGCCAAGACACCCACCTTCCTATCACACTGAGAGTAAACACTGCTGATTCTTGCATCCTAGAAGTGGATGGATGGATAGATGGATGAATGGACTGATGAATGGATGAACAGGTGGATAAATGCATGAGTGAACAGATGGATGAAAAGATAGATGAATGGCTGACCCCATGAAGGTTTTTATTATCATACCTGAGTTACTGTGTTAGTCTTATCTTTTCAAATGTTTATGCCCCTAAAAGATGTCAAGTTCCAAAAGACAGACATCTTTCTCTGTCTTTGCTTTCACAGGGCCAAGCACAGCACTTGGCTGGTGGCAGGTGCAGCAACAGGTAAAAAACACATGCCTTTTGAAAAATAAATGAATTCAGTTCAATGCCCGTATTTCTAGGTCTGTACGATATTCTTCCAGGATGTAATTTCTCAGTAATGAGAAGAATGAGAACCTTGACACAGAGATGGCCCATTGATATTTTACTTTCATACTCTAGAAACAAATACCTGGTGGTGAGTTCAGATAAACATTCCGATTAGAAGATGGTCTTACTAATTTCAAGAAAAAGTGGGTAGACAGCATTTTTACAAACATCACATTATTTGGATATTAAGTGTCTTGCTATTATAGAAACCCCTCTTTTCACAGATGGGCAAACTAAGGCCTACCAAATAATTTACTTCAGATCTCGAACCCAGAACTCTTTCCTTTTGGTCCAAATCTCTCCCCACTATGCTATCTTGAACCTATGGAGTGGAATGCAACAAACACGTTTTTCTTTTGAATCAAAGGAAGAATTTTAAAATTATAAAACCTTCTGACCCTGTGCCCCCTTCTCCAACCACGTCCTGTTTTCAGGTGAAATTATCCAACGTGGCATCGAGGACTTGGTATTTTCCATCAAATGAATTTCCTCCCGGTGAGACTGCATATACCATGTAATTTATATTTGAGTTGTTTGAGAGTACCAAAAGAAAACCAGAGGAGCCCTCGTTGTACCACCTGCGGTACAAGGATGGACTTCCATTCCTAAAGGGAGAGGGACATCACTGTTAAAAAACACTGTTCGGCTTACTACGGAAACTACAAGGCACCATAACTTCCCAAATTGGCAAAAACTACCTGCTATGGATTGTAGTAAAGTGTGTTTTTAAATTATTTCAGAACCATAAAACCTCTCCATAGAGAGTGCTTTGAAACTGCAAATTAAATATAGAACATCTATGAACTGTATCCATTTTTACAGTAAGTATATATTTCCATGGGGGTTTGTACCATCTTTTTTGTCTAGTTACACTAGTTAATAATGCAGTGAATTTGCAGTAATAGAGTAAATGTTATTTTGATGACACTATTTGATTAAATTAAAGATGACATTAAAAGGACCATTTCAATAAAGAACCGAAATATTCGGAAGTAGCTGGGGCTGAGTGTTTAAGTCAGCGAGTCTCGCGGTCTTAAAAGGACCAAATGGAATTTCCTTCACTGTATGAATGATGAGCAAGTTAAGGAACAATATGACCAAATAATATATGGGAGAATATGAAGGCTGAGATTCCAAGACCCAGGCAATTTTAGTCATTTGAGGCAGGCATACCACACGCAAGAAAACAGCTCATGAGGCCTTGGGAAAATGTAGAAATGCATTAAGTAAAACGAAAGAGAGAGGGCACTGAAATTTGCAGCAAAATGTGCTGATGTGGTGACAGTGAATTGAGTTGTCGAACAAACGAAAGGGAGGCTGGGAGGATTAGTCACGTCCCCTCCACACCCACCATCTTTTCTGCAAATTCACAAAGGTACAAGTGGGCCAGCCACAGCAGGGTAGGGACAGCTTTGAGATGAAAACAGGAGAAGAGAGTCCCAAGTATTTTAAGGCCTCTGTTCCTATGGTGTGTGCCAAATAAAAGTTCTTCTCCTGAGCGAGAGGTTCCAATGCATAAATCAAACAACTGTTGGAAAATCCTTTAAGTTTTTGGAGATAGAATCTATCTGAAGAGACATTCCTTAGTAATGGGACTGAGTTACGAATCGTGGGTATTTCACCAGAAAGAAGACCCAAGATTAAAGGTGTGCATCAGTAGAGAATTCCAGTTCCCACAGAAACACCTGTTCTGGTGTCTCAGCCCCAAAGGCAGGTGACATCCCTATGTCTACAGAGGGTCACTGGCTGTTGACAAGTTCAAGCCTGAAGCATTCACATTTGTGGCTGTTTTTATAAGTAAAGAGAGACGGGGGGAAAAAACCCAACTCAGCTCAAGCTCATATAATTCTTCCTTGTGATCTCAAAAGAGCATCATTAGAAGCTAAGTTTTCTCAGATAATTATCTGGTCGTCATGCATGTCGGTATCTCAAAATAATTATTTCCTCACAGAAAAGGAAGGCGGTGTGGTTTGCTGGAAAAGTCATGTGCCCTGCATTTCAGTAAATATTGCTTCTTTAAGGGCAGATACCTCAGATTACAACATTCGTGGTGTTTTCGACTTTCTGCGTCTAAAGTGGGAGTGTTTATTACCTTCTCAGTGCAAATCACTTAGACACAAAGGAGGATGTAAAACGTCACATCAGGCAAGTCTATTAAATAAAGCATGTGAATAACACACATTGTGATGCTGAGATTTTCAAAGCTGAACAGAGTCCTCCAGATGCCAGGAAATTTGTTTTCATCGAAGATACCCATGTCCTGTGAGGGATCACAACTACTCAGAAGTGACGGCAGCAAACTTTCTTCACAAAACATTTTATTTCCCAGAATTTTGAGTGGCTCAAGTCTATATGTTTGAGACACTCTCCTTCATAATTTCTATAAGTGGCCACAGTCCACGTGGGTGACCTCCTGTTGCCCTCTACATGTCTGAGGCCGGGCTCACCAGATCTCAAATTTCTTGTTTGTGGCACATTTTCAACACTCAAAAACACAAAAGGAATTTTTGATAAGTGCACAAAAAGATTAAAAAGGGAAAATAGAGAAATTTTAGAGCAATGAAACTATTCAGTATGGTATGGTATGATTATGATATGATATGATATGTGATATGACGTATGATAGACACATGTCATTCCACGTCTGTGAAAACCCACAGAATATATACCACCAAATGTGAATTCTAATGAACCTATGGACTTTAGGTGATGATGATGTGTCATTGTAGATTAATCAGTTAAAACAAATATAGGCCTAGTGTGGTGGCTCAGGCCTGTAATCCTAGCACTTTGGGAGGCTGAGGTGGGCGGATCACTTGAGGTCAGAAGTTCGAGACCAGCCTGGCCAACATGGTGAAACCCCATTTCTACTAAAAATATTTTTAAAAATTAGCCGGGTGTGGTGGCATATGCCTGTAATCCCAATTACTCAGGAGGCTGAGCCAAGGGAATTGCCTGAACCCAGGAGGTCGAGGCTGCAGTGAGCCAAGATTGCGCCACTGCATTCCAGCCTGGGCGACGGAGCAAGACTCCAACTCAAAACAACAACAACAACAGACTCCAAAAACCTAAACAAATACACTGATCTAGTAGGGATGTGGAGAGTGAGCCAGCGTTCAGCAGGAGGTATATGGGAACTCTCTGTATTTTCTGCTCAAGTTTGACTCTGAAACTAAAACTATTATTTAAAAAAAAGTTCGTTGTCGTTGTTGTTGCTTGTTTTCTGTTTTGTTTTTGTTTATTTTTTTCTAAAGTGAAAAGAAGGCCGGGCATGGTGGCTCACACCTGTAATCCCAACAATTTGGGAGGCTGAAGTGGGAGGAAGGGTCTCTTGAGGCCAGGAATTCAAGGCCA